GATGAAGTATTCTAGGGATACTTCCTAGAATACTCTGTAAATGTGCTTAACACTACTGAACGGTACACTTAAAAATAGTTATGATGGTAAATTTTACTGCAATAAATGAAAGAAAAAGAATTAGCTTCAAACGCTACCCATAAAGGAGACCCTGACGGAAGGGAAGTTTCATGAGCCCTTGAGCCCTACCATTTATTCATGCTTTCTGTATCAGTTACATCTTGCTGCATAACAAACAACTCTAAGATTTAGTGGCTTAACCACCTCTGATTTAGCTTGTGATTCTGGTCTGCACTTTGGGCTGGACTCTGCTGATCTAGGTCAGGCTCAGCCGATATTGGTGGGGGCTGGCCGATGTGCATGGCTCATCTTTGCTCCATGTGGCCTCTTATCCTCCAAAAGACTCACTCAGGCTTGTTCATAGGGTGGTAGGGGCAGGGGTCCCAAGAGAGTGAGCAAAAGCAAGCAAATTTTCTTGAGGCTGTGGCTCACACCCACACGATGTCCTTCCAACCTCATTCCATGGTCAAAGCAAGTCGCAAGGGCAGGCAGTGAAGATTCAGAGGGTGGGGAAATGAACTGCACCCCTTGAGGGGAGGGGAGACAAAGAATTTTTGTCATCTACCACACCAGCTGTATATATGCCAGGCCCTGTGCTAGATGTTGAAGATAAAAATACAAATAGATCACAGTCAAGTGCAGGAGACATACACATAAATAAGTAATTACAATGCACAGTGTGCTCTAAAGAAATAAGCATGGGATGCTGTGGGAGCAGGGAGAGGGTGAAGAGCCAGGGGATGTGGGAGGAGGAAGGGGAGGAGGCAGAGGCTTGGGACACAGTAACACCTTAACTGGTACTGCAGGACAAAATGGTAATTAGCCAGAAGAAGGAAGGGAGACTGGGACAGAGGGCAGGGAGCAGGGACATGCCTGAGGCACAGGGAGGCTTCAGTGGGAAGTGGGGGAGTCTTGCTTCCCCTGCTCATCCTTGAGGGGTTTATTTAAACAGGGAGGGGTTGCTGGGTTGCTGGATGGCTTAGGGCCAGAAAGAGCCAGACATCCTCAGAGCCTGCTGCCCCTGACTCAGGAGAAAGAGGGTGGTGGCTCAGACAGAGCCCAGGTGTTCCTGAGACCAGGAGAGAATGGACAGCAGAGATTTCTAGGCGGTAAAAGAGGCGGGCTTGGTGTGGGAAGGAGAGGATTCAAGGGGGAGATTCGGTGACCTGGACCTGTGCTTTCAGCCCAGCAGTCTGGCAGCGGAGGGTTCCCCACTGAGGGGCAAGGCCAAGGGCAAAGCACAGCCGCTGTGTGGCCAGGCAAGGGCGAGGGGTCCTGCAGACACAGGTGGGGCATCCCACCCAAAACCCGGGAGGCTAGAAAACAGTTCCCTGATATCCAGACTTGCCCCTCCTCCACAAGCCTGAAGCAGCCAGATTCTGCAGGGTGCTGGGGTGCTACTGGGGTCTACCCCAAAGGCCCAGCCCCTGCCAGCCCGGCCCCGACACCCGCAAACTGCCCCAGCTGGGCACAGCTGGTTGGAAAGCTTTCCCAGGACCCCACGTTCCCCGAGCCCCTCACACATTAAGTGGTTGTCCTCAGCCAAGGCAAGGGCCTAAGCAGGAGGGCAGCTTGGGGCTGGAGCCAGTGCTGGCTTCCTCCCGTGGATCAGGGATCGTGCCGTCCCGAAACCCGGGCTCTCTCGGGCTGGGCGCTCAGCCGGCAGGAATAAGCACATACCGCCTGATCAATACTTGGAATGCGCTTGGGGCCCTGCTGTGAAAAGGAATCCCCTGGTGAGCACTTCCATAAATTGAATATTTTTTTCCGAAACAGAGTAATCCTGCCCAGCTATTAAATCCAGATTTCCGCAAAGTGAGAGTAGAAAGCGCTTGCATGTAGATGGGGACCTGGACCTCCAAGCGCCCCCCTCCCCCACCATCCGGCCAGAATTCCCAGGACAGCGGGCGGCGCTGCGGGACTGGGACTGCAAATGGAACCTTTGCTGGGACCTTGGTTGGAAGTCGGAGCTTTCAAAAAGAGAGTGCTTTGGGCCCCGGAGGAGTGGTAGTTTGTAACTGCTGCGTTCTCCTGGCCCCCTGGGCAGGGTTAACTCAGCAAGCCTGCGGGGCTGCGTCCATCCCTCACTGCAGCCTGACAGCTGGGAGGCAACGGAGCAAGTGCCTCTCGGTGCCTGAAGGGACTGAGCACCTAAAGCTGGGGCAGCTTGCCCAGGGTCACATAGCCAAGGAGTGGCAAAGCTGCAACCTGAGAGCCAGGATCCTGGGCTTTGGAATTCCAGCCCAGAACTCTTTCACCCCCACGTGACTTCACTCAAAAAGCTGACATCACCACCTGGCTCCTGTTTCGGGAACGAATTCAGTTGGTGGCTCATCTTGGAGCTGCTGTGTGAGCGTAGCAAGCAGTTGAGCCTTAACCCAGACTGACCCTGCGGGCTCCCCCACCGCGTCGTACCCCCCCCACCCCCAAGCCACACCCTCAGGCTCCAGGTACCACCGCCTCGCCTCCCGCCCAGGCCCCAGCCACGGCCTCCTGCACTGCCCCCCCAACCCGTCCCACAGGCCCAAACCCCAACCCCAAACTGAACTCACCACCCCCTCCCTTCCCGGCATCCCTCCAGAAGCCTGGAAGTGGTCCTCGCACCTGCAGGCCTCCACCTTCCCTCCAGCACCGAGGGCCGCAACTTCCCAGCCTAAATACTTGTCTTCCTCTGTCCTCTGTCCCCATTGTTGCTCAGGCCTTTGTCCCTTCTCACTTAGATCATGGAGCTGTCACCACCATCGACAATGACATCATGCCTGCCACCTGCTGAGGCCCACGGCTAACAGTTTACCATGGGCTAGCTCATTTAACTTCAACGAAGGAGAAACTGAGGCTTCTGGGACACTTTCCCAAGGTCACACAGCTGATAGGAGGCAGAGTTCAGGTTCTCCCCCAGGCCTGGCTCTGAGGCCCAGTGCTCCCCCACCTCCCTCCTGGCCTCCAGCCTCCAACCTCCACCGTTCCTCCTGGCCTGCCGCTAATGGGGCTGCTAGAGTGATTGTCTGGCAACCAGGTCCAAGCCAGTCAACTCCCCTGAGCAGAATCCCATGGTTCCCTGGTGCCCAGAAGACTGAGCTGGAGCCCGCTTGCAAGGCTCTTCAGGTCTGACCTCACCTGCTGCCCCATCTCGTTGCTTTGTTCCCTGTCTGCCCCACAGGTGCCCTCCACAACCTCCACCTAGTGCTTCAGGACCTGCTGGTCTCCCTCGTCCTTCTGGAGGCCCCAGCCAGTGCCCTCCACACACCCCTGCAGGTGCCCTGCCGCGACTCCAGCTCAGCCTGATGTGGGGTTGGTGGTGTGGTCAATGATTCAGCTCTGCCCACACAACTCAGACCCCTTTTCTCCCTGTCTGCCTTGGTCTTCGGCAGAACCAGAGCCCGGTATGTCCTCGCAAAGATGGACCTGCCTGACCTCAAAGCCTGCAAGCCCCTGCCCATCCCTGAGCCTGAATCAGGGATTTTCACCAGGCTCTGGGAATAGAGCGGGAGCCTCCAGCTTCATTTTGCAGATGTAGAGACAGAGGCTCAGAGAGCACGGGGGCTTGTCCGAGGACATACAGGTATCAGAGGCAGAGCTGGGCTCAGGAGGGAGTCCTGACAGGCAGCCAGTGTCGGCCCATGTGGACAGAGACGACAGGTCAGGCTGGAGCAGGGCATGCTGGAGGGTGATTCCAGAACACCAGCCAGCCCGGGTGCAGCACAGACCTGAGGGCTCAGGATGACGGTGGGGGGCTTGGCAGCAGGGCTCAGTTCTGCTGACCACCCTCTCCCATTCACCTGCTGAAGGACATAACCCTGCCTAACAATAGTCTAGGTCATTCTGGCCAAGAATCTGGGCCTCTGATGTCCAGCAACCAGCAAGTAGGGAGTCCGCTGGGGGCAGGCAGACAAGGCGAAGCTAGTGGGAGCACTGGTCATCGGAAGGCCCTAACTTTCGCAAATGAGAGTTTCTATCAGCGAATCAGGGTAGCTGTCATGCTCTCCTCCTTCCCCGTTCTGAGCCCTGAGCGGGGTCTAGGAGACATCCCAGGTTTGGAGCCCATGGGCATGGGACACTGTCTGTGCCGGCCCCAGGTGGCCAAGACACCAGGCAAAGGTAGGTGTGCATCAGGGTGGGAAGGCCCCAGAGGCCCCTTGGGGGGCACCTCTCCCATGGCGAAGCCCCAGCTGCGGGCGGGAGTCCGGAGAGAATGACCCAAGGAAACGGGAAGAGGTGCACCCCCACCCCCGCGCGCTTCCTGTCAGCCCTCCCGACAGTCCTGGAAGTGTGCAATGGAAGGAAGTGCTCTGCAGGCCCCGGTTGCACCCCCTCCTTCCTTGGGGCCCCTCTCTAAGAAGCTCACCCTGTGCCACGGCTTGAGTGTCTAACATAAGGGACGCTGTTCTTGCAGGTTTTGTGGTTTTTATTCCTTTGAACCATATCCAGCCCATCGTACATCACAATGCCATGCTTTACTTGGTATCCAATACATCAGCCCTCATTGGCATTTGGAGAACTTGTTCTGTAGTTATACGACAGTTTTTAGTTGTCTGTGATAATGTATTCTCTGTGTTTCCAATTGTCAGTGTGGGAGTCTTTTCCCCCAGCCTTTCAATTTCTGGGTTTGAGATATATATATATATATATTTTTTTGTATTGTATTGTTTTGGTTTGGGGTTTTTTGCTTGTTTCTTTGGTTTTTTGGTTTTTGTCGGTTTTTTTGTTTTTTTGTTTTTGCTTTTGAAAGTTGTTATTCCTTTGGTTCTGTGGCCCCTCCCAGTTGCTGCTTGTTTACGCATTGTTTGTGACTTCTTTTGACTGTCAGTGTTGAGCCAGTCTTGCCAAGAAACAGTATCAAGTATTTTCCTATTTCTCTACTTCTTGAAAAGAAAAAATTTTAATTAAAAAAAAAAACTCTTAATGGGAACCTGGCCCTGTCTGTCTTCTCTGTTCTGCAGAAATGTTGAAGGAATTGAACCAGCAGCGCAGAGCGAAAGCGTTTACAGACCTGAAAATTGTTGTTGAAGGCAGAGAGTTTGAAGTCCACCAAAATGTTCTAGCTTCCTGCAGCTTGTATTTCAAGGACCTGATTCAAAGGTTTGCCTTCCTTCCAGCTGTGGTCGGGTCTGTTCCTTTGTAGGACGCTTTTGTGTCGCTTTTCTCCTCCCCTCTCTTGCAGGTTCCTGAAGCGTGACTCCCTGTCACAGAGCCAGTAGCCATCTCTCCTCCCCCCCCACCCCGCCCCCGAGTGCCCTCTCACACGCAGCCTCAGAGCAGCCACGGCCCCCAGCCCGCCCCCACGCAGCTTTGCTGGTCACCAGGGGCCTCTGCCATCCATAGACAACACCCCTTCCCTGCCCTGAGGATCCCGAGTTCTCAGTGGCTCACAAGCCCTCTGTGAGATTAGGAGGGCTGTGGACTCCACTTTAAGGGACCCCCGCACACTGTCCCCACTGGTTCAGCACAGGGTCCCAGGCACCACCATCACTGCTGTCGATGGTGACCTTAATGCCAGGAAAGCACATCGACCAGACTGTCCCCCTGCTGAGGAGCACAAGGTGCCCACGGTGCCGCTTTTCCACAGCTGGAGTCGGGGAGAAGAGACTTGTAGCCAAATCCTCATTCACGCTGCACGCCTTGATATTTGTGCACTGAGCCTAAATGGGTGTTGTCTGAGCACAGACCAGGTGTGTCCTAAACACGGTCTCTCTCAGCCTTTGCTCCCCACCCCCTCTGCCCTCCGCCCCGGCTATTTCTACCTGAATGAGTTTTAATGGTGCATGAGCATCTTTTTTTTTTTCCATTATGTTGATTTTTTTCAATTTGTCTGCTTCATGCCCTCGCAAAGAAGTCAGGGGCCACCTTCTAGCTCCTTAGCGAGGGAGAGCAGCGGAGGGGGCCGCCCAGGGTAACGCTCCTGTTTCTCTCACCCATCAGCAGATTAATGCCGCTGCTCATTTTGCCTTGCAGCCTCTCCGGGGCGGACGCTGAGCCGGGACTGGGCTCAGAGTGGGAGGACAGGACCTCTGCTTGCTTCCCAATGCTGTGTTTGGACTTGCCAACTAACCCCAGAGTGACTGTGTTTTGTTTCAGGATGGCACACTGGCTGGCATCTCCTTTCCAATCTGTTGTGTCCTTTCACTTAGAGCTGAGCTGCCCGGCGTGCAAGCCCCACCCAGCCGCGCTGGCCCCAGCCACGCAGGAAGGGGCAGGCTCTTTGTGACTTCCAGTCTCATGGACAGCTTGGGTCTCCCACCCCCAGTGCTTGGGTTCTCTCTGTCCGAGCACAGGGGTCAGGGGCATGAGCTCTGGGGTAAAGGGGCACGTCCAGTGGCTTCTTCAGGCCAAGGGAGGTCTTTGTGCTGCCACTCTTGGCAAATTCTGGTACTGGCAGTGACCGGCATCTTAGGGCCTTGGTCCCTGCTACAGACCAGCTGGAGAGCACAGAGCGGGCAGGATGCAGGGGCAGGTTGGTACTAAGTGATGGCCCAGCCCTCAGCTAGAGAGATGTGGGCAAGAGGAGCACAGGAGCCATTTGACTATCTTTAGAGACCTTACACAAAAAGCCAAACTCTCATACACAACAGAGGACACCACTTGGTGGGAACCCAAAGTAGTGAAGGCTTCTTAGGCCCAAAAAGAAGGAGGAAGAACATTCCAGGCAAAGGATGGGTTGCCTGGAATGTTCTGGAAGACAAGGAATGTTCTGGAATGTTCTAGAATGCTCCAGACAAGGCATGGGTTGCCTGGAATGAAAAGCTGGGAAAGAGGCCATCCTAAGCAGATAGCCTTCCCAGAGATGGGTGTGAGCTGGGGTGAGATGGGTGGGCAAGCCCGACCCCTGGGCTAGGGCCCTGGGCTTGGTCTGAGGATGTGGGGGCTATCATCAGGAGCAGTGGGAAAGGGATGTCCACCTGAAGGTGAAAGAACTATAAGATGTGCCTCAGTGGCCCTAACCAGAAATGATGGGCACTGGAGCTAAGAGGCGGTCCCTAGAAGGGAGAGGGCACCCCCCTGGGAGCTAAGAGACCTGGGTTCTACACCTGACTCTGCCACTTGTCCTATGACCCCAGGCAAGTCACGTCGTCTCTCGTAGGCCTCAAGTTTTCTCATCTGTAAAACAGGAGGTTGGTTCAAACGACATCCAGATTTCCTTCAGCTCCTACATCCCAGGGTGGCGGTAAGGGGATGGGCACAGCCAGCCCTGCAGAGGCTTCCCGTGTGCAAGCCCCAGGATGTGAGAACAGTGAGGTCACGGGGTGGAAGGCGGGTCCGCGGACCAGTGTCAGGGCAGAGCTGGGGGCGGTGGGTGAATCGAGCGTCTGGCATGGCAGGTTTTAGTGGCTGAAGGATGCCGCAGTGGAGATCCCTGCAAGGCAGCCAGATAGATGAAAGATCTGAACGCAGAGGTCTGAGGTCTGGGGAGACCCCTTCAGGGTACAGGAGGGTCACTCAGGGAGGAGCGAAGGCCGAAGCCGAGCCCAGAGGCGCCCCTGTGGGCAAAGGTCACAATGTTAATGTGCGGCCATTTTAAATTTTACTTCCCTCATCTTAACCTTGGCGTCCCTCACCATTTCTGCCCATAGCTGCAAACAAATTCCTCCTGTGGGGAGGAAAGCAGACTCTACAGAAGGGTGATTTCCTTTCTGGGCCGAGTAAAATCCTGGAAAATTTCAGTCTCAGTGGTCAGGGAGAAGCTGATGTGGTTGCCCTGTCGTTTTGGGCTGCGACCCTGGGGACAGTGTGCAGCGGCCGGGGTGGCCCGGCAGGAGACCTGAACCCGAAGCAGGGGCTTCCCTCTCCGGTGGCTGCACTAAAGAACCAGAGGGAGGAGGGACAGTCTGTGTCCTGGTCCTTCCTTTCCTGAGGGCCTCTGTGAGCACTGTCAGGGCAGGTGGCCCACTGCCGTCCCAGGACCCGCAGACCTGGGGGCTCAGGTGGGACTCCTGTCCACCTGCATCCTGGGGCCGGTCACGGGGTCACCACTCCAGCCCCCCGCCACACCCCCCGTGTGGACACCCTCATCTGGCCCCACAGGACAGACGTGGGGAAATCAAATCATTCCGTCCTTTTAGCTCAGCACACAAACAGGAGCCCCTCCCACAGGAAGCCCTCCACGAGAGGGGTCTCTGCCCTGAGGAAGGCCACACCCTGATGAGGGGGAACAGTAAAGAAGTAGGAGCGGGGGAGCCGACTGAGCACAGAAATGGGGTTTAGAGGCCCCCAGGCAGAACGCCTGACTGTGGGAAGAGGGGCAGTCAGGGACAGCAGGGGTGTCAAGGCCCAGCACGTGATTCAGTGTCACCGGGGGGCCTGGCACAAGGTGGCGATGCAGGGAAGGAGGCCAGCACAGAAGGCCCGAGCCGGCCCGCGGGGCTTTGCTTTCAGCCTGGAGGTGCTGTGGTCAGATGTGTGTTTCATAAGGACGACAGTCAGGCCGTGAGCAGGAGAGCCCAGCCTCACGGTGTCCTCTCCTGACCGGCTCAGCTGCCCGTGAGCCCCGGGGCCAGGCAGATGTCCTGCCCGCAGCGCCTGTTCGCCGGGCCCCAGGCCGACCCCCGCTCCGTGCACACCCTCTGTCCTCACGTGTGTAGCCGCAACAGCTTCTCTCCATAGCCTTCCCTTATTTCGTTTCAAGCTCTTGTCTTTTTCCCCTGATGGGGTCAGGACCCAGCCCACAAGGAGACTTGTAGAAACGTCTAACGTCATCCTGAAAATCCTCCCACTAACCCTGAGAAGCAGGTAGCATTAGTATCCCCACTTTACAGATGAAGAAATTGAGGCCCAGAGGGTTTTAAGTAACCAGTAAGTCTGGGATGGGAATTGAGGTCTGACTCCTAAGCTCGTGCTCTTACCGTCCATTTGCTAACCCAGAGAAGAACAAAAAGGCAGTCTTTATTTGTGCATGAAGTCTATACGGAAAGAAAGTGAAACTCAGGGTTGACAGTGTAGACAGAAAGGCGAGGAAAAAGGATGCAGAGTTTGAGTGTGTGTGCACGTGCGCCTTGTGTATCTGTTGGAAACACTCGTAAACTGGCCACTGGATCTGCCCAAGAGGAGACACAATTCCCACCTGAAACAGGTCCCTCGGCTGAGGCCACTTGCCCCCTTACCCATGGTCCTCTGGAGTGAGGAGCACGGAGGAGGCTCGGGAGGCCATCGGGAAGGGCAGAGCCGTGCTGAGACCCCTGGGCTTCCTCACCTCCCCTTTGTTGCCCCATCTGAGCCCCTGTGACAATCAGGGCTGAAAGCGCAGCAGGGAGACGAGCCGTGGCTTTGTCTTCGGACGGTGGGAGGGACAGTGCCACACCATCACTGAACCCCGCCTGCCTCCAGGCTGGAGGGGGACCCCAGCACAATTGAGTGGGCTGAGCCCCGGGCTTCAGGAAGGAGGAAGGACATTTTGAGCAGACTAGAGCTAGTGGCGTTTGGGGGTTATAGCCTCCCAAGTCCAGAGTCACTTCTCAACCCCGCTGAGCAGGACCTGGGTCTGCCCTGGACTTTTGGGAGGCCATGAGGAAGTTCCTTCACTTATCCCCAGGAGCCAAGGAACCCTCAGGGATGGTTGGTGCCATGGGAGGCATTGGCTACCCTCTCTGGCCGGGCAGGCTGCAGGTCCCCTCAGAGAGGACAGGGGTCGTCCTTCAGAGAGAGCAGAGCTACTGCCCTGCCTGCCCGAACTTCTGAACATGGCCCCCACGCCTGGGTGGGGGAGAAAATGTCGCGCCCCAGAGGAGAGCTGCCCCCTCATCACAGCAAACGGGACAGAGAGCCGGCATTCTACCTTCCAGCCAAAAGCCCCATCCCACCAAGTCTTCTGGAGCCAAGGACACATTTGAACTCTATTCTCTTTTTATAGTAAATGAAAATAGATGGACATATTGATTTGTCCAAGTTGATTTTCACAAGCCCTGTGTGTAGGCTCTGGGTTTCTCCATCATTCTTTTGGGGAAGCCAAAGGGATCTGCCTAATTGAGAGGCACAGATCCTGGATGTAGGGTTGCCCAACAGATAATAGGCAAGCCATACGCTGCCTTTCCCCTCCCTCCCTGTGAAGCTGGGCGTTTGTGGGTGGCAGTCTGACCGTCCCCCTTTCCTGGTAGAAGAGACAAGTGCAGCTGGAAGACCAGATAATAAAAGGAGAGACTCACCCATCTCGAAGGCCAGCAGAACAATGTGAGTCAGACCCATCGCCAAATCACCACGGTTGGGCCAGGGCCCGCCTGAGCTGTGCAAGTCCTTGGGACCCAGTGAGGCTCATGCGTGCCGTGTTTGAGCCCTGACGCCTGAGCTCCTATGCATGCAGTGGGGTGGGAATCACATCGGAAGAGTGGGGTCATCCTCCTGAACGGGTCAGGATGCCATCCATATTCACCACCCACTCCATGACTGCCCCCCCACCCACTACTGCTCCATGGTTCCCCCCCCCCATTATTCCAGATCGAACTTGTAAAATGCAAGCATCTGATTACTGAGGTGTGTGAGGGGCAGATAAGGGACTAAAGTCTGGAGAGGGCAGCTCTGATCCAGGTGAACAAATTGCTGATGGTGGGATCTCACGTGGTCTAATACTGGGGATGAGGCATTCCTGGCACATCCACTGACCCAGGCCTGGCAAGCAAATGCTGTGTCCCATACCCTGTGAGAAGGTGAGCCCGGGCAGACCCACGGGTCCTGTGTGGGCTGGGCAGCACTGGCCTGGCCCACACGCCCACCCCCAGTGTTAGGTTCATGGCCCAACCTGACAAGGCTACCACTGCGCAGTCCTGCCCTGCTTCACCTCCCTCCAAGATCATGTCAGGACCCAGACTGCCCAGCAGCTCCCAGTGCTCCATGCTGCTAAGTGGAACAGGATGCTTGGACCCCAAGAGCCAGCTTAGGACAGGGCCCAAAAAGTCATTTGTGGAGGACACAGCTCCACATCAGTGACCAGGGCCACCCATCATGGGCAGTGCCACCCAGGGGATCCCTGCTCATAGGGAAGAGACCTAAGGATCACTGAGGTCCAGTCCCAAGACCGTCTGATGGTCAGTGATGGAGAGTTACCACCGGCCTCCCTTGGCCCCAAAGCTGTGTGGACAATGAACACGTATGTGCAGATGAGCTACACAAGACCTCACAGCCTGGGGCCTCACCTCCTACAGATCTTGAACTCAGCCACCCAACAAAGCCTCCATTGCGTTCCCAAGTATTCCTCCATAACCAAGGGGAATGGTCATTCTGCCCACGGCGTGGCATCTGGCCGCAGGGGGTTCCACCCACTCCCTGAATGTCCTTGGCCCAGCAGCCCCCAGCCTTCCTGGGTGCCTCTCACAGGGGTCCTGAAGGAGCAGCTGCAGCTGTGCATCATAGGGGGAGTGGTCCTCGCCAACCCTGGATAGCACTTGGGGTGGTCGACACCCCATGTGCCTCCTCACGTTGTCCCTGCCCTCCTTGGCCATGCAGTCACCACCCTGTCCCCAGGACCCTCTCCCTGGCTCAGACTCCGGGCAGGACAAGCATCTCCCACAAGGACAGCCACACACATCCCATCCGACTCCACACTCAGGGCCGTGGGCTCCCCTGGCCTTCCATCAGCCCGACACCCCTCCCCACAGGGTGATACTGGGGGTCCTCAGGGTCATGTGTCACGTGCACTCCAGTGTGTGTGTGTGTGTGTGTGTGTGCGCGCGCACACAGCTGAAGTCCACCCCAGCCCTTCACTGAGTTGGATGATCTCTGCTGAAGAAACGTAGGTGGACGGGAGGGCTGGCCCAAGGTGGAGGCAGCAATGGCCGGGGGGCCTTGGGAGAATGTGAGCAGCCTGACTTTGGCCCACAGGCTCTGCCCTGGCCGTGGCCTAGCGGGACCTCCACAGAGCACGGAGGGCGGGAGGAGGAAAGGCCAGGCAGCAGCGTGTAGGAATGAAGGCAGAGACGGCAAAGCCCAAGGAAGAGGTGGACCAGATGGCCCCTGAGGCCTGGGGTGTTAGATTTCTGTGCTTTCAAGTGATCACATAATGAACTATTTTTATACTTAACCAAGTTACCCAGGCATGAAAATCTATCCCGACAGCAGAGGACTCAATGTGTTAAGTCACTTGAAAAGTCACACACACCGTGTATGTCTATGGGTTTGAGAAGGGGCTCTGCTCAGACCCTCGGCTTAGCCAGCACTGTTCCCTCTCAGCTTTCCCTCCGAGCCTGGAGGCAGGGCCCCTGCGGGCCCCGGTGACATGAGCCATTCTGTGGGGAGGGGAGCCCTGAATGAAGTCACAGCTTCTTCTGTTCCCTGGCCCCGTCATATTGGTGCTTTAAAAGCCCTTGGTGGCCAGACTGTGGAGAACGTGCTCTCATGGGAGCATTTCAGGTTCTGTTGGGTAGAGCAGAGTCTCCTGGGCAAGGTGTTTTCCAGCCTCTATCACATAAACTCTCCATGGGACCTTAGACTTCATGCAGTTCAATCCTCTTGTTTTGCAGAAGAGGAGCCTGAGGGCCCAAGAGGCAAGGTGGCCTTCCTGTCAGTGGCAGGGCTGGGGCACGCAGGTCCTCTAGCTCCCCGCCCACACAGGAGTCAGCCTCTCTTGGGGGCTGTAGCTTCTGGGCACCTCCACACCCCCAGTGCCAGCCACAGGGGCGCCCGAGAGACCAGCCACAAGTCATCACCAGTCTTGCCCCTGGCCTCCTCAGGAGTGGAGAGTTGGCAGAGGTCATTGCCCAGGCTCGGGCAGGAGCAGGCTCCATGCAGGACTGGTCAGAGTGGCGGAGATGGGGTGCCAAGCCAATCACCTCTGAAAAACCTGCCTCCTGACTCTTAACGCTCTGGGTGTCTTTCCTCCTGGTCACTTCTGTATCGGTGTGATTCTTGCTTCATCTTATCTGTTTCCTTCCAGGTCCAGCTTTAGGGCGCGGCTGCCAGGCCTTAGGAGCCTTTGCAATGGTTTCGTATTTCTGTAGACACCAGATACGACCATATTTATATATTTGTGTCCCTCCCCTGCTGCCCCAGTTCACAAGCCCGATGCACACTCTACATGCAGGCCACTCTGACCTCTGACCCCGTGCTCCATGTGGCAAGAGGGCCCCACCCCGGGCCAGGTCCCAGGTCATGGCTGCTGGCTATCTGTGGCGGAAGTCCTCGGTTGTCCCCTCCCCTCCCCCCAGCTCTAACCATTCTGTCCGTCTATCTCGTCTCGTCCTCAGTTTCAAAGCAATGTCATGAAGGACTTCCTTTCCATGCCTAAAAGGAAACAATATGTTTTGGGAAATAGGTGGGGTTGGACTCAGGGTTCTGGGACAGCTTGGGGCGATCGAGGGGCATCTCCAGATTGGCTGTGTTCACAGCCGGTTGGGAGCCTCAGTCACACGGGCGGCTCCCCCCACTGTGGAGGCAGCAGGGGCAGGGGGCCCCCCTCCCCGGGCCGGGACCTGCTGGCCGCGTGTGGCCGAGACGCGGGAGCCAACCGCAGGGCGGAACCGTATTGTTTCCCTTTGAGGCCAGTCCTGGTCCTCGTCCCCATCCACAGCTCATGCTTTTTGATTTGCATCTTTTTTTGCATGGACATGCCAAGTAGTGATAAGCAGGGTTTTCTGTTCTTTTGGGCATCTCTGGTCAGACTCTTCTCTTTCAGATCCTGTGTCAGGTCGTTAGGTTCAGGTGTGTCATTGCTGTGTCCCTTGAGTCCTAAAATGAAGGGCGTGACCGAGGCGTGCAGGGAGATCTAGCCCTGTGAGGAGGCGGCGCCGTGGCCGCAGCGGGGCAGGTAAGGGACACCGTGGTCTCTGTGCCTAGGTCGGTGCAAGATGGCAGCCAGTGTGGCCGGGAGAAGCTGGAGCTCGTCCTGTCCAACCTGCAGGCCGACGTCCTCGAGCTGCTGCTGGAGTTCGTCTACACGGGCTCCCTGGTCATCGACTCGGCCAATGCCAAGACGCTGCTGGAGGCGGCCAGCAAGTTCCAGTTCCACACCTTCTGCAAAGTCTGTGTGTCCTTTCTCGGTGAGTCCGGGGTGGAGGCGCGCGGGTCGCCGCGTGAGGGAATAGCACCGACGGGCCCCAGACTTTGAAAATAGCCAGGATCCAGAGGGGGAAAGGCTGTGTGTACGCCTCAGGGTGCCGCTGGATCTCACAAGGCAGTTTGAAGAGGAAAATTCGGAAAGCTGTAGGCACCGGCAGAGACCCGGGCACGTCCAGGCTAGAAAAACCATTAGCCAGACCTCAGGAGAGCCGGCAAGACTGTTGTCAGGCCTTGAGGCCAGGTTGGTGAGGCTGAGGCCCGTGGGAGGTGGCGGGTGGGCATATGAGGGGTGCTGCTGCTGGTGCGACCCTAAAGTGGGAGCCTGTCACAGAGAAGACATGGTCAGTCTCCGCGTGACCCCTGCCCCCAGGCCAGGCCCACGCTCTGAGGCCCACAGCCACGAGGATGCTCCATACCTCACACTCTCCATCTTTCTGCTGGGACCTGCAGGAGCAGAGGGAGGCCCCAGGGGAGGCAGTGTGAGACGGGGCGGAGGAAAACCCCGAGGGTAGATCCACAGCTCCAGGGACACCAGAAACGGTCTTGTGGGGACCCTGGATGCGGGAGGCAGGTCACAGGGACATGGGCTCAGAGAGGGATCCAGAGTGTCAGGCGATAGGATGAGAGGGCCACCCCTCCGGGGCCCTGTGGTCAGTGGTCCTGTGCTCTTGCCCCCAGAGAAGCAGCTGACGGCCAGCAACTGCCTGGGGGTACTGGCCATGGCCGAGGCCATGCAGTGCAGCGAGCTCTACCACATGGCCAAGGCCTTCGCGCTGCAGATCTTCCCTGAGGTGGCGGCCCAGGAGGAGATCCTCAGCATCTCCAAGGATGACTTCATCGCCTACATTTCCAATGACAGCCTCAACACCAAGGCCGAGGAGCTCGTATATGAGACTGTCATCAGGTGGATCAAGAAGGACCCCGTGGCCCGTGCGCAGGTAGCTCCCCACCCTGCCCGCCGCTTCCCCTGGGTCTGGGGTCCCCGTGCAGGGATGGCGTCTGGAGCAAAGCTGAAGGGAGGTGGAGGCGGCAGGACGGCCTGCTCCGACCATCAGTGGGAACGTGTAGGAGCCAGTAGGCCTGGGCAGAGGGAGGCCAGAACGGCTCCTGTGGGCCGCAGAGAGGTGAAGGGAGGGAGGAGAGATGAGAACTCAGTCACCAGAGGGTTCCCAGGGCTGGCCTTCCACCTGAAGGAGACTCAGGCCAGCCAGAGGCTGCAGGGCCTGCAGGGAGAAGCGGGTGCCCTGGGGCTCCCGTGAGCTCAGACCCGGCAGAAGCAGCTCCACCCAGGCTCTGCTTATTGAGAGGGTCGGGAGCACCTGGACCAAATGGAAACCATGCTGGAGATGGGAAGCCACCGCACAGCTGGGGAAATCGGAGCCAGAATCCGGGGCAGAGGGAAAGGAGGGCAGGGTCCCCAGGAGGGGCATCCGTGTCACCAGAAATCAGTCACACCCCAGCTGAAGGCCTCGCTCAGAATGGAACCGCCTTGATTCTAATGTGTGAGGGGCCCCCAGGAGTTAGTGCAGACACAGGTAGCTCAGAGTCCCCCTGGAGAGCCGCAAAGGAGAGGCCAGAGTCGGGGAGGCCAGGGCCCAGGACACCCCGAGGCAGTCGAGTGGCAAATGGCAAGGGAACTTCGTTGTGTGGGGAGCAAGAAGCGGCACAAGGGAGGGAGGGATGGGCCAGGCGCTGGGATCAGCAGCGTGGGACTGTGCACCCTGGCCGGGCCACTGAGCCCAAGAGGAGAGGGTCCTCTGATCAGGTGGGGAGGAGGCAAGATTCGTTTGTGGAGGAAGGCAGCCAGTCAGCCCGGGCAGCTGTGATGGCGACTGCCGTCCCCCCCAGCCCCCACCTCTGTGTCTCCGGCCCAGCCCTCTGTCTTTGATTGCGGCACACCTGTGGCCAGCGTCCCCCAGCCCCTCTAATTCATCCACCCCCAAAGCGACACAGCTTGTGTTCCTTCCTTCAGTTCTGCCCATTGCGCACAACGGAAGCCTGGATTCCTCCCATCCCTCCCGTGTGCGTCGGGCCACAGGCCGCCGTCACTTGCCGACTTCCTCTCCCCAGTCAGGCCCCTCACCGCACCAGCACTGCTGAGGGGGTCTCCCGAGCGGCTGCCCTGCCTTCTGTCGTCTCCATCCCCAATTCAGTCCCACCCCGCAGTCCGAGCTAGCAGTCTTCCTAAAGAACACATTTGATGGTGTAATGCCTTTGTCGAAAGCCCCCCAGGAGCTCCGTCACGCACCCTGCGGGAAAAAGCCCACCAGCCCTGGCAGGCAAGGCATAGGGGCGGTCAGGCTCTGGTCTCCTTCATCTCTCCGGTGTCACTTCCCCTGTCCGCTTACCACCCCCCCAACCGACACCCCCCGCCAACAAGAATCAGCTCCATAGAATTCCCCAGATGCACCTTTCTCCTTCACGCTCCCATGTCTCTGCGTGCGCTTCGGGCGTCCTACCTCCTCTCCACCTGAGGCCTGGAGAAACCTGCAGCCCTTCCTCAGCCAGCTCAGCCAGCGTCCGCTCTGGGAAGCCTCCTACCCTGCACCCCCACAACTCCTAACCAGACTCCTCCTCGGGGCCCCACTAGCGCCTCTACGAATGGATCCTCCCCCAACCTGCCAGTGCACGGCACGCACCCGAAGCTCAGACACTGGGGCTTACTGGTCTTACTGACACTCTCTCAGTAAGGGGTGTCACCAATCGTTTGTTGCATGAAACTAAAGCCAAGTGGTGAGCAAAGAGTTTGCCAGGCAGGAGGGGATTCGAGTCAGTTCGTGCAAAGCCTTCAGTGCAGGTGAGAGGGTCTGGGTGCCAATCTGAGGCCGTGGGATGCCCCTTAAGGGGTTTGTAGGCATTGGAGAGACTCAGGCTCTGACCGGTGTGACCGGAGTGACCCTCATGGTCACTCTCGGCCTTCCTGGGCCCTCCCACCTCTTCCTGACTCCCTGCCCCATGTACACCTCTTCAGGGCTCAGGATCCTCATTTCCGTGAGGGTGAAGCCTGGGGTGAAGCCAAGGCCGGGGACCTGGGAGGAGGCAGGAATGAGGTGCCGAAGAAGCGGACGGATGGTTCACCCCAGGGTCAGCTGAAGCACACCCGACCTCCCCCATTGCTCTCCTCTGGCTGATGGGAGCCCCCCCGTCACTGTCTAGACTGGGATAAGCAGTGTCTACACGCTCAAGCCAAACGCGGACTGGAGTTACCTGGGTCGTGCAGTACCACACCGGTCCTTCCTGCCTGCCCAGTACGACTCGCCAGACGGGGCTCCATCTGCATAATCTCATCCACCCTGTGTCTCCCTGACCCCGCAGTACGCAGCGGAGCTCCTGGCCGTGGTCCGCCTCCCCTTCATCCACCCCAGCTATCTGCTCAACGTGGTGGACAATGAGGAACTGATCAAGTCGTCAGAAGCGTGTCGGGACCTGGTCAACGAAGCCAAACGCTACCACATGCTGCCACACGCCCGCCAGGAGATGCAGACGCCCCGAACCCGGCCCCGCCTCTCGGCAGGTATTGAGGGACAGGCCCCGAGCTCCCCAAATGCAGGTGCCGTGGGGTCAGCCCGACTCTGGCCGGTCCCCACCCCGCTCCTCCACGGGAGGCGCCGGGTGCAGAGGCCAACAGTGTTGGGATGTGTCCAAAGGCGGGGCGTCTGTGTCCCTGCAGGTGTGGCGGAGGTCATCGTCCTGGTTGGGGGCCGTCAGATGGTGGGGATGACCCAGCGCTCCCTGGTGGCTGTCACCTGCTGGAACCCGCAGAACAACAAGTGGTACCCACTGGCCTCGCTGCCTTTCTACGACCGAGAGTTCTTCAGCGTAGTGAGTGCCGGGGACAACATCTACCTCTCAGGTGAGGCCCCTCGGGGCTGGGCTGGGCGCCAGGCACAGACTTCCCGGGGGCCCCTCTCCCCACGCCAGGGCTGAGGAAAACCAAGGCCCAGAAGGGTCCACTTGGCGGGTGAAACCTTCTCCTTCTGCCCCCGGGGCTGGGCCGGCCCAGCCTGGGACCCCTCCTCACTCCCCGCCTGCTCTCTGGACCTCCCACATCGCCTCCAGGTGGCATGGAATCGGGGGTGACGCTGGCCGATGTCTGGTGCTACATGTCCCTGCTCGATAATTGGAACCTTGTCTCCAGAATGACGGTCCCCCGCTGTCGGCACAACAGCCTCGTCTATGACGGCAAGATTTACACCCTCGGGGGACTTGGCGTGGCGGGCAACGTGGACCACGTGGAGAGGTAATGAAGCCACGGTCAAGAAAGCTAAAATCATGTTGCTCTTCCCACCCAGCACCGAGCCAGCTGAGGCCAAGCGGAGACGGGACATTTATAAGGCGATAGTCGCAGGCTCTTCAAACACAGCAAAGAGGGAGGACTGAGGGTGGGGGGAGGGCAACAGGAAGGACGAGAGCCGCCCCACCCCTGAGATGGGGCACTCTTGTCCCTTGCAGGGGTCAGACAAGCTGAAGGCAAGAGACGCACTGTGGGCTTGGCCGGCCTGCCCAGGCACCTAGAGGCCCTCCGGGACTGGAAGTACCAGCCCAGAGACTCGCAGGGGGTGTAGGGCAAGGCTGCAACCGATGGCCCACATGGGTGCCTCATCCGTCGCCGTGCCTCTGTGTCCCTGCCGAGCTTGGAGGTCCCACAGCGGGGAGCCCCTTGCTCCCTCTTTCCCACCCATCCCAGGAAAGCTGCTTGCAACACGGGGAACGGTCACAGCAAGCAGGTCTGGCCAATCATCTGGAATTCTCCAGAAGCCGATACAAAGCAATGGGCCGGAGAACGGCGCTTTTGTGAGCCTGCCCTCTGCTGGAAGTCCCAGGCTGGCTTCCTCGCTGAGGCCCACTGACAACTGGCCACACAGAGTGTAGGCATCGGGTGTAGGCAGGGGGAGCACAGGCTGAGGTGGGCACTTCATGGGGTGCAAATGCTCCATCTTTCCTTTGAGCTGGAGACCATTCTTGCCGAGAACAGACACCTGGGGGAGAAGCCACGGGAAGAACTCAGGAAGGCTCATGAGTCAGCAGCAAGCAGGGGAGGCCTCAGAGCAGTCCCGCTTTTGGAGAAACTAGTTCCCCCAAGGGAGGGCAAGTTAGGCTGAGCTGGCCCCAAGTCCCAACCCAGGAGGGCGCAGCCAAGATCACCAGAGGCCCTTTCTCCACGTCCTCACCTCCTGCTTGCCCACCACCCTTGGCCCACGTCATCAGCTGTCACGGAAATCACATCTTCCCATGCGACAGCATTTTGCCTGTGGACCCACACATACCCCTCAATTTGTATTTTTCCCTCAATGGCTAATTGGACACTTGACAAATGTTACGGCAAAGATAGTTTCAGAGTGAGACAAGCTCTGGATGTTCACTGTGGGCTTTTAACTCCCCCAAGTGGAGCCCAGAGATGGCTCAGTAACGACATTTAATTGTCATATTGATTTGGAGTTAATGGGGAATCCCTGTGTGATTATAAGGATATTAACACTGCAGCTGAACCTGGGTCAGCCCTGATGCTGACAGCCTTCAGTGGGGCCCGCTGCACGGCCCTCACGTCCCAGGGCTTCCAGAAGCACCAGCTTCCAGCCGTTTGTCATCCAATAATAAACACATGAAAAAGGAGAGGTTTTCTATGTAGGAGTAAACTGAGCTAGATCTGTCATCCTGTCTTGCTTTTGTCAGCTATTTTTAATCTCCTAAGATGCTGATTACTCATTTTGCAAACTTATACTTGTTGATAAATACAGGAATTTGTTCGAGGATCAAATGCACCAAGCGGGGGGAGAAGCTCCGCTCCCCTTGGGCTCGGGAGGGAGCACTCCTCCAAGGCCTGGTAGCAGCCTCTACTGGCCTCCCCCGGGGGCTGGGCCTTTGTTCCACTAAGAAATATCAGCTAGGGCACCATGTGAGCAAGACCAGCCCGGGAACCTCAGTAGATGGGGAGCCATCCAGGACAACAAGATGCCCTGAGCCCCTCCTCAGCCCTCTGGTATCTGGCGGCTGTCCTTGCAGGGACGGGACGCAGACCTGAAGACCTCCGGGTGGCGTGCACACAGGTGGGGTGGAGGATGCAGGCAGAGGGGACGCCCACCGCTTCCTGAGGAACATAACTGCAGCCCCTTTGCACAAGTAATTTCTGCACCGCATGGTGGCAATGATGAGAATTCAGGGTGACAAGGAGGTCAGGGTAATGGGGACAGACGCGAGGGTGCTTTGTTCCCCAGGAAGCACTAATGGTACAAATTGCTCTTATATTGATAATGAATGAGATATATGGTACATTATAATTATATTACATTACTGTATTACAGGAATAGAACAAGATTATATAATTATAGATTAAAACAACAGTGCAGTAGACAAACCTGTATTATATCATTATATAAATAACTGGGTCTAATACTTCATAGCAATATATTGCACTAGCTGTGGTTACCGGATAAATGATAGCAGAGTGCCTCACTCCACAGGGTCATTTGCATGTCATTAGCATATCCTTCTCAAGCAGGAAGCTGACAGATTGAGCTGACGAGGGCTTGTGGCTTGGCAATCAGCCACCTGGAATAACAAGCTCTCGGGAAATTCGCATTTGGCGGAATGTGCCATTATACCGAAAGCCTGAAGACTAACAGCCACATAATCTTCCGCTGTCACCCAGCTCCTTCTACAGGAGCTCTTTGGATCTCTGCCATACTGGCTTAAAAAACAGCCATCTGAACTTCTGACACTGTCCAAAAAGACACTTACTCCATTGCCTGTTAGCCACATAGCCTTCGTCCGGGGCTTAATTGAATCAGCCCCTGCTGCCCTCTAAGGTCCGTCAGCCTCTTCTCAAATCCTGAGTCTTCGCAAGCACAGAGCTGGACATCTCGCCGCTGCCCCCTCATCCCTGTCTCAGAGCCAGGGGCACCGGCTAAGAGAGGCCATCTTCTGGATCACTAAGCCGTGACCTTGTTATGGCTCGAGCCCCAAGGAGCCTCATGGGGAAGAGTGGGCCCTGCGTGCTTCCCAGGAAAGGTGTGCTGGCGAAAACCCAGCCCACAGTGGAGGCCCCGCCTTGGGTCCAGAACAGGCGACAGAGCCATGCGCCGAGCGGGAGATGGGCCACCAAGTAAGAGGTCCAGAGTGAGTGCTTATAAGAGCAGCCCCCAGGAGCAATTGACAGAGACACTGAGAACGGAGACCCAGAAGCTGCCCAGAAAGACATCAGATCTCCCAGTTCCTTGACCAGTCTGCTAGATCCCAAGTCTGTCCCTCTCAGCTGCTTTCTGTTGTCACTTTTTTACCCGCTTTGTCTGGTATTCACATTCCATCATTTCTCCATGCTCTTACTTTGTCCTACCATACGTACGCCACAGATCTCTTCAATCCTGTAACTCTGCGCCTTCTCCGTGCCTCCCCCAGGGGCTGAACGCTGGTGGAGAAGATCCCAGCACCTCGTAGATTGGCCCCACTACAGACTGAAGTCCTCCGACGTGTACTGTGTCCTTCATGCTGCAGGGCCCTTGTCCACAGTTTTGCCCGCTCTCAAGAGCATGTGTTTCCCATCTCCTCCCCCATCAAGGCTCTTATCCCACGGATACCCATATCCCGCCAGCGTTGGGCTCCTGCTTCACAGAGCAGGTGGCGCCATCAGTCAAGAACTCTCTCCTCTCCCTGCCATCGCCGCTGGGTATGGACTGACTCTCAGGCCATCCTTGCCTCCCTCTCTCATGCCCACATGGACACCACTTCCCTCTCCACTGTGGATCCAACCTGCATCCCCCCACAAGGAGCCTCCCTTTATCAGCTCTCCCCTCTCTTTCATCTATATTTAACCTTTCCTTACCCATTTGGGCTCCTTCCTATCAGCCCGTAAACACAAGTAAACCTTTCCCCCTAAAATTAAAACAAAACCCACGGTGCACTGGAGCTCGTTCATACTGGCTCCTGAGAGCTGACTATTACCTTTTTTAGGAACTCTGCAAGCCAGTTGTCATTTACAGGTATTATTAAAAATTAAACCATGTAAACTTAGAACTAAATAAATTGTATTAAAAACAAAGGTAATCCATACTCAAAACTCACCACTACTTTTTTTTTTCTTTCTTTCTTTTTTTTTTCTACTATATTCTGTACCGTCTGTGCTCTGGAGGTTCGACGTGTCTGCTGTGTCTGTATGTGGCGGGGATTCTGTCTAGCGGTATGCCGCCACGCATCTCTTCCTAGTGCCATGTTCCGCCATGTGCCGTTGGTAGCTTGAAATCGGCCGAGAGGATTCACATCACAGAAATCAGCAAGTGCTACATAGCAGGGCTTTTCCCCTGGAGAGATTGTTTGTAAACATTTATCAGCATGCCGCCAGTGCAAGCCATCTCTGAGCTCCAAATGCCTTTCTAGGTTCTACCTTCTCTGCCCCTTTTCCCAGCGGAGTTTTGTCCAAGTCAAGTCTCTACCTGTCATGCCCACCGCCTTCCTTCCCATTCACTCCTTGATACACAAATGGCTCTGCACCTTCCATTCCACTTAAAGTGCCCTTGACAAGACCGCCGGGAGCCTGTTTGGGACTTCTTGACTTCTCACCGCATCTCCCACCCATGGCGCTGTGCCCTCTGTAGTGCCGCCACTCCTCCAAGGACCCCCTCAGCTCCCTCTTAAAGGCAGCGTTTCCCCAGAGCGTCCTCAGCCTTATTCTCACCCCCCCCCCCCCACTGCCTGGGAACTCCCTTACCTTCAGTTTCCGTCGCCGGGCCAGTGATCCCAAAGCTGAACGTATAGGCTGCACGTCAGCTGCACCCCGCACATCCCCAGTTGGTTGCCCACAGGTCCTTTAAACTCCCCATGAATAAAACTGAAATCATCTCTCTCCTCCAAACTCCCCAACCTCAATTCCTGTCCCCTGAGTAGTGCCCCCTCCTTCCGATGCCCCACGCCCGAGACCCTGAGTCATCCTAGGTAACTCTGCCTTCCTGAATGGCAACATCAATTAACGATTGAACCCCATCAGTTCCCCTCTCCTTCTGGTCCCACTCCCTCTTGTCCTTCCCTGGTCCAGCCTGCTGTTTCCCCAGTTTCCAGCCCAGAGCCTGGGTGTACAGGAGATGCTCAGTGCAGCACTGTTGGGCAAAGGGGTAGGAATGAGCTGGATAGAGAGGGATGAAGGGGCCTAGAAGCTGGGGAGCCCTATGTGAGCAAAGGAATGGAGACGAGAACCTGCATAGGGGTTGCGACGGGCAAAAAAAGAGCCCACGGAGCCTCAGGAGGAAGGCTGAGAGGGCCAGGTTGGGCCAGATCTAGGGGGCCTTGAGTGACTCAACCCGAGTGCCCCCAGCTGTGTGTGATCTTGGGCTATGCCAGTGATTCCAAGGGCAGGAAGCAGATGCCGGTGCCCCCCAGTGTCCGCCGCCTTGGTTGTCAGCCCTGCCCCGCACACAGCCCACCACTGATGCTGGGCTCTTTCTCTCCTCCTCGACAGGTACGACACCATTACCAACCAGTGGGAGGCCGTGGCCCCTCTGCCGAAGGCAGTGCACTCTGCGGCAGCTACCGTGTGCGGCGGCAAGATCTACGTGTTTGGCGGCGTGAACGAGGCCGGCAGGGCTGCAGGGGTCCTACAGTCTTACGTTCCACAGACCAACACGTGGAGCTTTATCGAGTCGCCCATGATTGGTGAGAGCCAGCTCTCCGCTCAGCCTGGGGCCCATGCAGCATCCCCTCCTCAGTGTTAGCTTTGTCTCAACAGCCCAAGCCCAGAGGGCCGGCTAAGCCCCGTAGTTCTGCAGGCCCGCGTCCGGGGCTGGGAGGGGGAGGCAAGCCCCCAGGCCGGGCAGAGCTGCACACCCCACTACCGGGACAAAGGGCAAGCTAGACGGCGTGCCAGGTGCCTCCTGGCCCCGGGCCGCGTCCTCGGGCTAGCCACCGACATTGGCGGTCCTGCCGGAGCCCGTCCTCTGGAGCGCCTCCCGGCAAAGCCAAGGGTGGGGAGGGGGGAGGCCAGGAAGAGATGCCCTGACCTGCCTGCCCTGCTCTCCTCACAGACAACAAGTACGCTCCCGCCGTCACCCTCAATGGCTTCGTTTTCATCCTGGGCGGGGCGTATGCCAGAGCCACCACCATCTACGACCCCGAGAAAGGGAACATTAAGGCGGGCCCAAACATGAATCACTCTCGCCAGTTCTGCAGGTGAGGGCCGCAGGAACTCGGCTAGGGGTGGGAAGGAGGCGGGCAGGGAGGGAAAGGCGGGAGGACAGGTGTGAGCACGACAATGACCGCCCGCCATTGGATGACCAGAGCAATTCCCAGGCGCAGCGCCCTCCGGCCGCAGGTGTGGCTATGAGGGCCAGGGCAGAATGGGAAGAGCCCGGGGGCAGCCCGAGGCCCGCAAGCCCCCCCCGGGGGGCTCCAGCTGACCCATCTCCAAGCCAGAAATGGAGGGCTTCGTACAGGCACCAGCCCCAGGTCGTTCGAGGCCACACGTCCGGGGATAGGTGAAGGTGCTGCTGTGAGGACAGCTGCCCTACACGGGACAGGTGGCTTTCCAAGGGATGCTCTGACCACGGAATCTGGGGAGCGGTGCGAGGCACGGCTGCCTTGGAGTCTCAAAGCTGACGGGGCGGACACGCACATGGACCAGCCCCCACAGGAAGAGAGAGGTAGAGGTCAGGGTGTGGCTTGGTTCCCAGTCTGCCCGGCCCCATGGCCCAGAAAAGTTAACCACCTTGGGCAGTGAGACAGCAGACCCTGCTCTTCTAGCCCCATCCCCTCCCAGACCAAGAGGAACAAGGAAATATAAAAAGGGGTCCCAGAAACCCCATTTTCAACATTCACATAGCAGATCTTTCTTGAAGACACCTTGCGCCCATGCGGAGGTAATCACGGGATCCCCAGTCCCAGCACCCGCAGTTGGTGTAGCAGAGCTAGAAAAGCTGTAACCTACTACTAACCTATCTTAGGACCTTGGACAAGCAACTTGCGCTCTCTGGGGCAGTTGTCCTATTGATGAAGCAGGCGGTTGGACTAGATAACCGCTAAGTCCTATTAGCGCGAAGAGCCTGCGGTTCCTGGGCCTTACCTTCCCGTCACATACTCCAATGGTGGCGGCGTGCAAGCCGTTCTGACTACACTGTCCACAATAAGCACACCTGGAGGTTGAGCACCACTTGTGGGGAGGACTTGCGCGCCTCACCGGAGACTCAGAGTGGGCCCAGAAAGACTTCGTGCCCGTGCGGAGATGTAAGCTGGGCCTTGCAAGAGAAGCAGGGGAAAGATGTGCCACCAAGGGAGAAATCGGAGGGCCCTAGGGGGCAGGCAACTACAGGGGCTAAGGCTGGAAACCTCAGGTAAGATGTCTGGACCGGCACATTCCATTCCAGGCTCAGAATTTCAGAAAGAGGTGACTTTGCAAGGGCACCTGTTCAGCGTCAGGGGACAGTCAAGAAGACGGGGCCGTTAGCTGACATGCGGCAGAAACGGGGGCCGGATGCGTGGATGTAGGTGCACGTGGGACGGGGGAGCTGAGCCGCGGGAAGACGGGACGTGCAGACAGGGGCAGGCGGTGGTGCTCTGGCCGTGGGAACAGCTCGCTGAGACGACAGGGTGGCAGGCAACAGGAAGGTGTCCCGGGCTGCCGCGGGTGGGGACGCCGGGCCGTCACCGGTGGGCAGAAGCAGGCCCCTGGTGCTCAGCAATCAGGGCAGGGAGCCTCCCGGGGCCAGGGTGAATTTCACGGTCAGGTAGTCAGTGTTGGGTTAAGACTTGGCTCCTTATTATCCTGTCTGCCATCAGCCCTGTGAGTCGTGCTCTCTACTCGATTGGAGCCGTACGAAGCCTCTGGGCAACACAAAACAATGCTCAGTGAACAGATTCAAGGGTCCCATACACAAGGCTGTTCTCCCCGCCACCTTTCGGTGGTCCGGCAGGTCCCGGGATGTCCCCCACGGCTCGGAGGGTGGTAGACGCAGGGCACCCCGACCAACCCTAGAGGAAAGGTTTTCCTTTCCTGTGCCTTGGAGTCTCAAAGCTGACGGGGCGGACACACACACGGCTCGGGTCACAGGACAGAGGCAAGCAGTGAGATCCCTCAGACCTTTGGCAAAGGGGGAGAGGCAGCCTGCCCCGGGCCGGGGTACTGAGTCCACCTCCAGGTCCGAGGTGGAAGTGAAATGGCTAACTCTCTCCCCGCTCTCCCTGACAGCGCCGTGGTGCTTGACGGCAAGATTTATGCCACTGGGGGCATTGTCAGCAGTGAGGGGCCTGCCCTGGGCAACATGGAAGCCTACGAGCCCGCGACCAACACGTGGACCCTACTACCCCACATGCCCTGCCCCGTGTTCAGACACGGCTGCGTCGTGATAAAGAAATATATTCAAAGCGGCTGACGTCTGCAGAAAGCCCACGACGAGACTGGACAAGTCTGGTGAGGCATGTATGCTACTCACAGTGATCAATGTTCAGCAACACCCGCAAGAGGTTGATAGACACAATCAAGGGAATCACTGCGCTAAACATTTTGAATACTCTCTACATTGAATGTAGAAAATCATCCTCGCCTTTGGGGGAAACGGGGGCATAGCGCTCCATGCAGCAGGAACCACAACCATGCAAGCAGCTGGGCCTGGGGGCTCCTTCAAAGGCACTTGCTCTGAACGGAGGCGCTCGCTCTGCCCGGTGCAATAGAGTTTCACATATTTTTCAACTGGGAGAGAGAAGCTGATTTTTCCTTCCTGCAGAGCAAGCTTGATCCCTAAACAACCATAGATCAGTTATCCTATGACAATATTAGGTGTCAGGCTCTCTTTGGAATAAGATCAAAGTGTCCTTATCACTTTGATTCCTACTTTTGTTTTTAACCGATCTACACTTGTCCGTGGCCGAGAGAAGAGAAGGGACAATACTGTGTGTGGCACGAGGCCTAGGAGGCTCCTGGTCCCCGCCGGGCAGAAGGGAGGTCCGGCCACCGGTGCCGAGCCCAATGTGGCTGGAGCAGCCGTGCAGGGGCAGCCCGGGGACGGCTGGGAGAACCTTTGTCCCTCACAGGTTTTTCTACCGTGTTTTTGCTGGAGAAAGGACAGGTGACTGTGCTAGCTTTCTCTTGTCCGATATGAATTATTTAGATTTCCAAGGCATTTTCTTGATAAACAAAAAGGCTATTTTTAAGTACTGAGAGAAGGAGGCCATGAGAGGACCATGCAGGAATTCCCAAAGCTCTTTGTAGGTTGTGCCGGAGTGGGGCATTCGCTCTAATTTTTTCTATGTGCAGAATAGAGGATCTCTCCTGGGTGGGGGTGAGGGCCCCCGTTTTATTTTTTAAAAAATGTAACTCCCAGACAGCCCCATCAAGAGCTGTGCCTCCTGGAGGCGTTGTCAAAGAAGATTCTGTTCTAGAAGGAAACCAGTCCTGGCTCATGACACCAGTCCGGCTCCCTCCATGAGGTAAAGCTGAGGACCCAGGCCGGGTGGGAAGGGAAGGAGGAAGGGAGGGAGAATAAATGTCTACAAAGCACAGGAGACTATTTTTGATATTTATAGCTATATATTAAGGCACCTGCTACAAGAGCTCTCAGGATGGGGACAGCCTTTGTAGACGAGCCATGACAGCCAAGGCCTGAGGGGCATGAGCAGAATCACTCTTCCTGTAGCAGACGAACCAGAGGAAGGGGAAGCCAGGAGGGGGGTCACACCGTGGCTCATGACAGAAAGGCCTTCCTGCCAGTCCTCAGACCCTCAAACCTCACGCGGTGATCAGTTTCCATCCCAGGGCAAGAAGAGAGCCGCCGTCACTGCGCCGTTTAGTTGAAGTTGGTACCAAATACGCATTTACCATTTTTCTATCCAGGAAGTCAACTTGCCGTCATTTCATGATAAAAACCATTTCTAAGGAGAAAAGGACAGGACATGCTTTCCACCTTTCGGTATTTGAGGACACAAAATTCCAATTCTAACGTCGGGCATCGACTTCTAGCACTACAAGTGTGGCTCCCACTCGGACAAGATACCGAGCTTCGTTATGCAGTTTTTAATATTATTTATTCTTTTAAAAAAGTAATAAGCACAAAACTACATACATTGTATGTCATTTAAAGTATTTATGTCAAACAGGGTGCAAGTGTGAACCCAAGGACTGGAGCACAAATTTCTAACTGCCTGGGGCAAGGCTAATGTTAGCGTTGGTGTGTGTCTGCCTCCAAAGGAGGTGTTAGGGGTCAGCAAGACTCGACACAGATGACATTGAAATTCCGTTTCTCTCCTCACTTCTCACACTGGAGCAAAACTGGCTATTTCTGTGAATGATACAAAACAGGGTTCTCTGTAATGGTATTGTACATAGTATATGTTTATTGTTAAGTTCTTGTTATATTATAATAAATATATTTATAGATCTAGACTCAGAAGCCAATGGAATGCCTTTGTGTGCCACCATCCTGGCCACAGCGATGAGAAACCCCACGGAGGCCTGCTCCTTCTTTCACCCATCAGCCGTCCGGGCTCTATTAGAGACTGTAAGTGCAGACCTTGGTGATGAGAAAGGACAGGACTCCTTAGCAAGGGAACATACAGACCGACTTTGCTCTACTAAGGATATCCACACAAGGCTTCCCTGGGTGCCAGGTAGGATTGCTCACTCTCTTTCAGGGAAAGAAGTTTAAATTTAAACAGGGTAGTAGGAAAAGGGAGATTCACCAGCATTTCATCCATGTGAAGAGCCCCACGCCCTCAGTCCCCAAATCTCACTAAGACCTAGCCTCCTCTTGCAAGAAAACACGTGAAGAAGGTGGATCAGGATAGGTGGGAGTGGGAGTTCTTCAGAGGACTCGGCTGAAGCCTATGATGGTTGAGCAGACATTTGCCAAATAAATATCTGCAATGGTATCTTCAGAAACACCAGTCCTAGAGGAAAGGATGGAGAATGTGTAGAAGATTCTAATCACGAAGAGCTGAAATTATCACCTGTTATAAAAACCAAGCAATAGTTTTGTTAGCTCCTTCCTTCTCTACCCTCTTTCCCCAAATCAAGGGAAATGTGTTCTCTGGGTCTGTGAAGAGTCTGTGTACTTTCACCATGAAAGACATGTGTGACCACTCTATCAGGAGCCCGTGTAACTATGGGAGGAGTCTCTCTTGTTGAACTCAAGCTACTACCATCAGACCTGGCGAGGGTCGGGCACAGAGGAGATGGATCACATTGTGTGTACGTGTGTGCACGCATGTGTGCATGTGTGAATTAAAAAAAAAAAATTGCAACCAAAATAGGAAGAAAACAGTCAGGAAAAAGATTTGCTGTCCATATGACAAAGGATTAATATCTTTATTAAAGAGCCTACATAATTCAGTAAGAAAACATTCAGTGATTCCGCTTATTAGGTAGGTCATAGACAGCCCCTACAAGAGGAAACATTGCTAGTAAGTGTAAGACAAGTTCAACATCCAGTTATGAAATAATGACACTTCAATAACGAGGCATTATCTGCACCTACTGAATTAGCTTCCCAAACCTAAAAACAAAGTGGGGAGCTGCTGGGGGGAGCTCCAAGTGCTAACGAGGAGCGGAGAAACTCTTTACTGCCAAGGGCTTGAGGAACTGAAACGGCTTCTAGAAAGCAATGTGGCAGATGCCATGTATCAAGAGCCCAAAAGGTACCTGACCCAGTAAATCCACTTCTGGGCACCGCTCAGGAAATGTCATAGAATAACTAGCTCCCACCTATGGACACTAACTTTATGCCAGACACTGTGCTAAGCACTTAAAGCACCGAATCCTTACAATTCTATGAGTTAGGTGCTAAAGACAAGCAGTAATATAAACAACATTGTAAGATTCCTATTTGTATGTGATTCCGATTCTGTAAGATACGTATAAAGATAGATAAGCTACAAAGACACATAAAATATGTATATAAAAACAACCAGATGTGCAGTCATAAAACTATTAATTGTACTCACACAACTGTGGGCAGTTTTCCTTCCCTCTTCTCCAAAATGTATATAAAGAGACGTTGCTTTTCTAATAAAAGATATAGATATTTTAATGGGGAATCGAGGATAGAAAGTAAACTTTCCCCTATATTTTAGTCCAAGAAATTCTCAAAGATCATTTCTTATTTTGACCACCAGAAGCAATGGAAAAGTTAGAGTTTAGAATAAAGTAACAAAGAACTACAGATGAGAAAATTGCAGTAATAATCAAGATTTTTTTTTTAAACCTAAAGGCTAGGGGTGAGTGGAATATATCTTTCAGTGCACGAAGATTTTCATGAAACAAATGAACTTTGGGTTCTTAGAAGGCCAAGTGAGCTGAAAAGGACAATAATAAAGAAGGAAAAATTCTAGTTCAACATAAGGATAAATGTATTAGTGCTAACTCTGGAACGGATTACCAAGATCCTTGTGAAGGGCTTTTCTAATTAAATCTCAATCAAATCTTGGTATAGCATAATTGCATACTTATCTCATTTGATCCTCTCAACTACCCTAAAAGTCACAGGGCATCTTCTTCACTCTTGAAGAAGAAACAATCTTAGAAAAATTAAGTGAGCTCTATGCAGGAATAGTTATGCCATACCCCGAGTGCTCTCCGTACATTATCACGTCCAGTCCTCCTAACAATCCCACGATGGCTATCCCTGCTGCACAGGGTCCAGACATGAAACAGGGTTGGTCTAAGGCACCCTGGCCCTCGAACCCTGCTCCGTGAGACTCCGTGCTACCTCACACGGCCTCTCCAAGACTAAGACTTCTTCCTCCTTTCCAATCTCCCTCAGAAATCTGTACTAAGAAAAAGAATTCTGCGAATATGACAGACAAGCCACTCCATGTTAGACATGGTCCTCTTGGGAAGCAGTCTTCCCTTTGCCTGGTAAGAATCTCAGCAATGCACTGACTCCTCCACGGAAGGCTTTGGCTTTACACAGGAAATGGCTCTGGGGGAGGGAAAGAGTCCACTGATGTAAGATATTAGACCAGCCATTGCTGCCTCATTTAAAACTCCTCCTGGGAGCCTTCACTCTGTAATAAACTCTTAAGAGATTCCTAACATTCTTGCCGACCACAACTCTGGCCTGGGAGAGTAAAGAAAAGGGAAAAACAGCCCTGGTATTGGCTGCACCAACCTCAGCTCTAAAGGGCATACCCTGACCTTGGCATCCAAGAGGTAGGTTAAAGTGCTCCCCCACCTGAGTCAAGGGACTGATGAAAATGTGAAGCCAACTCCAAGAAGTCTGCCTTTACCACAGGATGGCAAAAATCAGATAATCCAAACTGGGTGCTTACCTTCCCAAATCTATAACCCATGAGGCTCTGTTGCCCTCTAGGTAACATTTGGCTGGTCACTTGAGTGTCTTTCCTCATGAAAGCTGAGGACAGCCTTTGAGTGGATCACACCAGGTCAGTAAGACTATGTTCTCAGCAGGTGAGGGCCATGCCCTCGCCTTCCCCTCCACAGGGCACCTCACCCTGAGTAGTGACAGCCAGATTACTCAAACTCTACTGGCAGCATGAAAAAGGTTTGGAGTTATGAAGAGTATAAAGGCAAGGCTATGGTTCTGTGCACTGCTTTGGCCATCCTTGTGGTCTACAGATGACCAAAGAAGCAACAGTTTTTGCTAAAGCATTTTCATTTGCCATATGTATAGAACTTCATTCTCGGGGAAGCCAGCCACTGCTCATGCAGACCTGTGCACCATGGGGCCCATCAGACCCTCTCCTCAAGGTTTCAGCCTGGGGACTCTGCATCCTTGCTGGTAAAAATCAGTCTTCGGGACTCCCCAGTTCACACCTCCAGGCTCTCGTACCTCTCCATCCCACTACCTTATTTTAAGCCCTCATGACTTCTTGCCTTAGTTGTTGCTATAGCTTCTTTCTTATGGTTATTTTTAAAATAACAGCTTTATTGACATATAATTCACGTATGATAAAATTCACCCTTTTAAAGTATACAATTCAGTGGCTTTTAGTATATTCACAGAGTTGAGCTACCATCACGACTACCTAGTTGCAGATCATTTTCACCATTGCAAAAAGAAACTGGAGTCCATTAGCAGTCACCCTCCACTTCCCCACTGCTAGTGCATGGTAACCACTAAACTACTTCCTGTTTCTAGGAATTAGCCTATTAGGGACACATCATACAAATGGAATCATATGACATGTGGTCTCCTGTCTCTGGCTTCTTTCACTTAGCATAGTGTTCTCAAGATTCACCTATATGTTGTAGTGTGTATCAGTTCTTCATTCCTTGTTATGGCCAAATAATACTCCACTGAGCAGGTATATTAAGTGGGTATATATAAAAATTGATACATTTTGGGGCGCCTGGCTGGCTCAGTTGGTAGAGAATGCAACTTGATCTCAGGGTCGTGAATTCAAGCCCCATGTTGGGCAGAGATTACTACAATTTTTTTAAATGGATACGTTTTGTTTTCCATCAGCTGATGGACATTTGGGTTGCTTCCACATTTGAACCATTAAGAATAATGCTGCTACAAACTTTTGTATACTGTGCAAGGTGTTGAGATTAAATAAATTTGGGAAATGCTAGGTTTAACAAGGCTAAACAGGTTTCTTTACTAGAGAACTTCTCAGGGTCAAAAACAGACTAACACTCACTCCAATTTTACTAAAGTAGATACACAAGGTAGTGTTTTCCAAATTATTTGGCCACAAATTGCTCCCCCCACCCCGAAATCTAGAAAACTTTTCTTTTCTTCTAAAATTAATGATACAAGGGGCACCTGGGTGACTCAGTTGGTTAAGCATCTGACTCTTGATTTTGGCTCAGGTCATTATCTCAGGGTCATGAGACTGAGCACTGCATCAGGCTCCACCCTGGGCGTGGAGCCTGCTTAGGATTCTCTCTTTCGCTCTCCCTCTGACCCGCCCCACCCCGGTGCACACACATGCACACACTTGCTCTCTCAAATAAACAAACAAACAAACAAACAAGTTCAAACAGTCAATAGGATTCTGGGGTCAATACATCTGACCCTCATCTTTGAAAAATGCACAAGAGAGAGTAAAGGTAATATTGTGA